TACTTTGAACAATAAAGAATTTAAATTTAAAAAAGAAAGAAAAATAGGAACATGTATGGTCAGTAATTATGGTTATGCTAAACATCTGAGAATAAAGACATGTTTGAAGAAGAAAGAAAGAAAGAAAGAAAGAAAGAAAGAAAGAAAGAAAGAAAGAAAGAAAGAAAGAAAGAAAGAAAGAAAGAAAGGAAGAAAGAGAAGGAAGGAAGGAAGGAAGGAAGGAAGGAAGAAAAAATATACAAAGAAAATTTATAATTTCAAATTTTCTAAAGTAAATGCTCTCAGAAAGGGAGGTTAGGAGCCTATAGTCAGGAAAAAAAAATGAAAATTCAGCCAAGCTGAGGAGAGTTTGGTGGCATCTTACCATCTTAGTCACTTCAGGGCTATATTTTAGTTTTCTGTTCCCTGATACAATCCAGAGAACAATCTGTACAATCCGTAAGAACGTTGATAGTCATAACATTTCACAGATCATCATGCTGGTCCACTCCATTGCAGTCATGCTAATGGGACCCAAGAAGCAGGAAACAGCAAATACAAAAGATTCATTGACAAAACACAAGCATTGCAAAGAACAGGAGATAAATGTAAGAAAACACATAGATCTATCAACTTGCTCTACCTCCCAGGAAACCAGCAGTCTGCAGAATATTATGACATTCCCTCAAAAGTGAAAGACAAATGGAAGATTATGTCTAAAACCCAGAGGATTCTAAAGGATCCTTACTAAAAGTCAAAGAAGTAAAACTTAAAAAAAAAAGAGTAAAAGTTAATGAAAATCTAGATCATCCTTCTAAAGTCAGGACTACAAAAGACTCACATCCTTTAGACATAAAGTTTTAGTTCATCTTACCAAAAAAATAACTTTGAGCTTAGGATTCCTTTACCATGAAGACTGAAGACAAAGGGGACAAAACGTAAGAATTTGAGTAGTACAGGAATATTTTCTTCCCCCTTATTTTGTATATACTTGATTGTATTAATGATTTTCCTTTCTTTTTCCTTTTCCCTGGTTACATAAATTTATTGATGCTAACAACAATTTAATCTTTAGTTTATAGAATATTTAGGTAAGACTATGACTAAATTAGAAGGCCAATTAACATCTCTCAAATATAATAGTATCTGTTGGAACTTTTATTTGGGGGGCATAGATGGCAGAATTTTTGCTTTAAAGATTAATTGCATCTTATGTGGAAATATAACGTTGCAACCATTGTCAATATGCAAGTTGAAATGTGAGTAGAAAATGCACTGCAATGGGGTGAACTGTGTCTGTTATTTACCTAGCATTTCCACTCTCATACCTGGACTTATTAACCTGCTCTTTTGTGCTGGGGCTGAGTCTATGACATTCCCAGACTCCCTTGCCAGATCATTAGGCATGAGGTTCTGCCACTGGGAGGCAGCTCTGGAAGGATTTAGGAACTAATTTCCTACTTCCAGTCTCTGTCAGAGTCCCTCCAACAGCAGTTAGAAACTGCAGCTTCAACATCTTTCAGCACTTCTAGAACAAGCCCCATGGCATGACCTCATAGTCCCAACACAAGCAAAGTGGCACTTCCTCTAAGTCTCAGAGCAGCTGCCTGGCACCCATTCAGACAACTGATACCACCTTCAAGGTCCCAGTCTCTGAAACTGTGGTCTCTCATCCGCTGTGGCAGCTCCTGCAGTGAGGAAGGAGGGGAGTTATGGGGGAAAAAAAGAGGAACAAATGTAATAATCAGAACAATAAAGATTTAATTAAAAAAAAATAAAACCCAGAGGATTCTAAAGAATCCTTACTAAAAGTCAAAGAAGTAAAACTTTAAAAAAAAAGTAAAAGTTAATGAAAATCTAGATCATCCTTCTAAAGTCAGGACTACAAAAGACTCACATCCTTTGGACATAAAGTTTTAGTTCATC